GCTGCCCCCTAGTGGCCAGAGGTGGCATGTCCAAGAGTCTCGCAAGGCCTGAGTACCTGCGTTGACGCAGAATCTGACCCCGCCGGGTGGGACTGGGGTCGGGGGGAGCTCCCGGATAAACTCTAGAACCTTGGCAGAGTCGGGCGCAATGAGTGATCCCTGCACAGTGCGTCATCACACTGTCATCCTGGTGACCCCCACCCCCATTAGTGACGCCCTTAGAAATCCCTGCGGTCACTAGGGGACAACACGGGGCAGGCTGGACCTGCTGCCTGCTGAATGGCTGTGGGTGTCTACGGGGTGAGACTACGCTGACCCACTGGGGAAGCCATTCAGTGGCACCCACTGTCCCCAGGATGGGCTCGCCTGTGCCCACAGGTAACAAGCGCTCCCTGAAGGCGAGCTGCTGCCCGAGGAGCAACACGGAACCATGTCCTGTGCTCTCAGCGTCCTTTCCTCTGTGCTGCAGCAGGCCCGGGGCTTGTCACTGTGGGCAGGGCACTCCTACTCCGACCTTGCTGCCCGCCTGCATGGAAGCTGGGGGGGACCACGGCACCTGCTGCAGGGACCACTGACCACGTGCCCACCGGCCAAGGCCAGCAGAGAGAAGAGTTGCTGGGGACGGGGGCTGTAACACAGAAGCCCCACTGACTGGGAAATGGAACCAGGGGCACGGGAAGCTTGCGTCCAGCCCCCAGGGACATCCTCCTCCTCCTGGGGTGGGGGGAGAGGATAGACGGAGTGTGAACCATCCATACAGAGGAACATGATTCAGCCACAAAAATAAGGGACGTTCTGACACAGGCTCCGCATGGACGGCCCTGAGGACATCCTGCTGAGTGAAGTAAGGGGATCGCGCAAGGACCGACACTGTGTGCCTGCGTTCGTGCGCGGTCCCCAGAGGAGTCGACTCAGGGAGACAGAGAGTGGAATGGCGGGGGCTGGGGGTGGGGATTGTGTAATGGGTGTGTGGGTGACAGAGTGTCAGCTTTGCAAGACGAGAGGAGTGCCAGAGACAGAGGGCGGAGCTCGTTGTGCCACCCTGGGCACGGACCAAACGGCACTGAACTGGACGCTGAAAAAACGGTCAAGGTGGTACATTTGCATATTTTACCACAAACCTTAAAAAGTTAAAACGATGATTAAATTTTTCAAAAACAGTAAAAAAAAAGAGCACTTACGTTTCCAACTGAAAAGCCTTCCCAAGCAGCCTCCCGGAACAGGCCGGCTGGCACCCGGCACTCACCAGTCCCTCCCGCAGCTGGTCACTAACCCCGTAGCAGCTCGGTCCACCGGCTCTCATGTCAACTCGCAGTGTCACTGGGAACAGAGGAAAGTCTGCCGGGAAGCATCTATCTCCTCAGCCCAGAAGTTGTGACAGATATTTGGGGGGGCGGGGGAGTAGGGGCGGGGAAGTCGGCCTTTCTCCTCTGAGAACAACTGGAGTGGGTTTTCTGGCTCTGCTCCGACAAGGAGCTGAACTGCCGTCCAAGGAGCCCCTGAGGAGACGCCGCCTCCCCCCACCCCACCCCCATTCTCCCCGTTCTCAGGGCCCCTTTCACTCCCTCACCAGGTGTGTCTGGAGGGCCTGCTCTGTGCCAGACACTGTCCCAGGTGACACGGATGGGGGGCACGCAGAACAGAGGCCATGCTCCTTGCCCTGCTCGGGAGACAGAACAACCAGCAAATGAATCAGGGAACTTGCTCCTTGCGGAGAGAGGAGTCGCGGGGACAGCAGAACGGGAGAGGGACGTGGCGCTCACCCGCCGTCCCGCCAGATTGGGCGCTCCCCGGGCCCCCACGCCCCACACGGAGAGCAGCCTCCTGCTCCCCACACCGTGAGCCTTCGGCGTGGGCAGAGCCCAGGGCCCTGACCGCGGGCTGCTGTCGTTGCTTTAGGTCCTGAAGGTCGGGCTGCGCCAGCTGCTTCCAGGACTTTCCCGCTCCGCCAGCGCCCCCTGCTGGGCAGGGCTGTTCCTGCAGCCACTCGGACTTGCACGCTCCCATAGGAAGGGGCCACGGAGAATCCCTGTTCCCTTCTCCCCACCCCAGGATCTGGTAAGGACGGCTGAGTTAAGGTCAAGGTTGATCTTTGCCAGGGAACACTCGGGCCTAGGATGTGACTACGCACTATGACTGGCTTTTACTTACAAAGTTTTCATTTCAGACCATCTACGTGTTCACTTGCAGTCTTCGAGTTTGTAAGGTCACCCGCCAGGCGGCCCTTCCCCGAACTTGTTGAGTTTGCTATGTGGCCCCGTTTGTGTGCTCACTAAGACTTAGATTTTATTCTAACATAATAAGGAGGTTTTAGGCGAAGCCATTATATCTGCTTCATGGGCTTTGGAGACCCAGTTGGCTGCTGTGCAGCCTGTGGCCTGGACAGGGGACAGAAACCACCAGGCGAGGTGGGGGGGGGGACCGACGGAGCAGGAGGTGCCTCTGCGGGGTCGTGGGTGGCGCCGACCTTCCTCCTGAGGAGTGGATGTGGGTTCTCACCATTAACAGCAGATCAATCTGAGCCAACGTCCTTAGAAGTTACTCCCGCAAGAGAGTCCATGTGGCAAAGTTTCTGGTAAAGATAAAGTGAGGGTGACGGGGCACATGGGACCCCGGCCTAGGCTCACCTGCTCGTGACTGCGTCTCAAGTCCTAGGGGCGCTGGGGACCTGGGCTCTGCCTGCTGCCCTAAGTCCGCCTTCCTCTGTTCATTGTCAGCCACAGAACCGTCCCCCCGACTCCGACTTCCCATCCCCCTGCTGCCCCCTGAAAGCTGTTTAGCCAAGGTGGTTTAAAGCTTTCAATTCCTGGCCGCTGCTAGTTTTTTCCTCTCAGTATCTCTTGTGTTTCAAGAAATGCCCCTGTCAGTAAGCCGAGCTGTACCCACACGCTGCCCGCAGGCTTGTTCATGGAATCTTTTCTGTGGCTGCTGTGTGACAAGCACAGGGCCCCAGGGTGGCTGGGAGACCTCCCGGCCTGCAATCCCACTTACTGCCTGGCCCTCTGCTGGCCCCCAGCCCCCATCCTAGTCAGCAGTTCGCACTGGGCTGACTCCAGGCCCCACCTCCTCACACACAACCCGGCATTCACATCTCTGCAAGTTCTGGTGTGGGGCAGAGAAGCCCGAGGTGCTCTCTAGATCATGAACCCCAATTCCACGTGTGTGTGTAACCCGACTCCTGGACGCGCGGGGCTGCCTGGGACGGGGGGGGGGGGGTGGTGGGGGGGATGTCCCGGGGACTCCTGACACCTCCAGGTGCTTACTGTGCTCTTGAGCATGGGAGCAAACACATTAACTGTGTCCTGCGTGACTGGGGGCTGCTCCTCTCAAGCTCTATCCCAGCCCGTCTGTTTAATCCTCTGTACCATGAAGGAGCTCCAGACTCCAGCAGGTAAGACGCTCTGCAGGGTCCCCCAAGAAGACAGCTAACCCCCACCCCAGCTCCCCCTGGTTAACTGATTTGGGAAGAGGTGGAAGGGCCGGTTTTCCAAGTCCAGATGCGCCCTCTTAACTCTGCAGTTGGTCGGGGGCGAGGGAGGAGGGAGCCAGGAGGTCTGAAGGTGGCAGTGCCAGAGAGAATGGGGGGGCGTGGGGGGGGTGGCTCCCCCAACCCCCACTGGAGACCGATGACCTTTATTTAATCTGTTCTGTGCTGTGCAGACCAGCTTCAAATCCCCATTCCAACCACAGTCCTGCACTAATCTCCACTTAGAAACCACATGAACAGCACTGGTTGACCCAAGGCTCTGAGGTCGGCTGCACTTATATAATCATATCAGTTATCATCTAAACCAGAACTTAAAGTATTGCCAGAAAATAGCATATGGTTAGCGTAAAAAGCTGCTAAGTTGAATTTCATTCCTTTTTTAAAAAACCTTTATTGTATTTTTTCCATCACCATTTAGTCCCCTTATACCCCCCTCCCCTAGCAATCACCACACTACTGTCCAATCCAGGAGTCCTTTTTCCTTTTGTTCATTCCCTGCCCCGCCCTTCCCGGTCCCCAGCTGTCACTCTCTTTCCACCTGGGTCTGTCCCCATTTTCACTGTGAGTTCACTTTCCTTGTTAGTTCATTTTTCTACCGGTTACTACTATACTTTTAATTTCCTCAACCCGATCTTTGTTGTAGGTAATATATCTAAGCATTATGTATTCCTAATTAAAGTTTTACTTTACAGCACACTTGTTACTTATGCTTTCTGGGATTTAGGGTGTCTATTTTGCAGATATTAAATCTCAGCTTTTAAATTACTTTTTCATAATTTGTCCTAATTACTACCTGCTGTTTAACATCAACCACAAGTTTACAAACCATTTTAGCAACATAGATGTTGTGGAAGGAAGCCACTTTCATATTCAGTGACTATGTTGTAAGGATACACTAATTAATTACAGCCGTACCCAGTAGTTGCCCAATACTAAATGCAACTTAATTGTTCTTTCAGCTTCTGAACTCAGTTCTCTGATTTGAAATCAGAGAACCACCTGGACAGAGAGTGTAACTGCGAAAGGGCACAGACACAGAAGGTCCAGCTGAGGTTAGGCTGTCAGACTTCCCAGTGCGCACAGGGAAGGGAGAGTTACGCCTCCTCCACCGACCTCCAAGATCTCGGATAGGTGACGCAGAAGCAACCTAAGCTGCACGCTCACTGAAGGTGCCCTGTCTAGGAGAACCGCCTCATAAAACAGATTAGGGTAAAGATCACGGTCTGTTGTATCTACTATGAATCTTTAAGGTTCTATGTTGTCAGGGTGAGAGAACAAAATGCTAAGACCAGTCATCCAAACACATGATTTGACTGTTCCCTTCGAGGGGAAGAAACATAGCATGCTGGGAAAGAGCAGCTATGGCTGGTTTTTCATACTAGCCTTGGAAAGGACGGGCTCCCAAGCTGTTTTCTTTACTTGCTCCTAAAATCCTAAAAGCAACACGTATGCTTTCAAACCAACAGAAAATGAAAGTTCTAAAGTCCTTTTCACAGAAGAAAATCTCTCCCAATAAAATTTAAAAATTTTTATTAATATTTGAATTATAAACCAAACCTTGGCAACCTTATATAGACATGTTTGCTATGAACAAGTTAAGATTGTGAGGTCATATTTTCAATTACAACTTCGGAATTAGCTGGAATAATTCAATAAGTTTTCTCAGAAATTGTGTAATTTCCTTAGGTTTACAATCCATGTGGCAAGTTTAATAGGATGTTAAGTAATTTACAACCTACCACAAGAATAAGCTGTAGAAAACTGAATCACTATTAGGATCGAATTATAACAAAGCTTTAATGGCTCAGTAGTTTTCCAGAGAATATATAAATATATAAATCTTTTAAAAGTAATACTGTTTGTTGAGCCGTAAAATCCATAAAAATAACAGTTTTGCCACAACGCATAAATTCATCCACTCTGCCTGCTCTATCGCTCCCACCAAGCAACTTTCAGGTGAGAATTGGAAGACATTTAGAAAGCATACATTCAACGTGAAATAACGAAGACAGTGAGAAACTGTGCGCAAACAATCAACTTTAAAATTCCGCACTCCGGCATATGTCTAACAGGATTTTCAATCGAGTAACACTCGAGGTAATCTGAGAAGGCAGCGTCTTCTCGAAATGTGGTCCGGCCGACTCAGATCAGAGGTCTTTCGCTGCAACAGGGAAAGTGGTCCTCGGTCCGAAACAGGACGGGGGGCTCGTAGCGGGTCTGCCGGGGCCCGCTAGGGGGCGCCTTGTTGAAGATGGAGGGCACGGGAATCGTGTGCAGGAGTTTCCGGAATGTACTGGGGAAAGACCCCAGCTCGGCCTCCGCCCTGGCGACCTGCTCTTCCATTCTGGCCACACTGGCGCCGACCATGCCTACAAAGGCTTCGAGTCTGTCGATCTTGCCGTACACCCGCCGCATCTCGGTGGCCTTAGCGTAAATGCGAGGCACGCCCTCGCTGACGACGTGGGAGGAGTCGCCGCGCAGCATGTCCAGCATGCCCACGAACTCGTCCACCCTGGTGAGCAGCTCCTCCAAACTCGCGTCCAGGGCCTCCACCTCCGGCCGTGCTCCGGCGGTGGGCAGCAGGCAGGCGGCGTAGCCGGCGGCAGCGCGGCGCAGCAGCGGCAGATCGCGGCTCGGCGCGCCCAACTCCGAGCCCTCCTCCTCCCACGGCCCCGAGGCGCTGCTCTGGCTCTGGGACACATTACCGCTGTCCCCGCTCCAGCCGGCGCCCTGGGGCTCGGCCTCCTCCGCCCCCGATCCCTCTTGAGAGGGCCCGCAGTCCACGGAGCGACCCTCCATAGCCAGCGACTTCCGGGCTCCCAGACTGCTTCCGGCCTCTGTGTGCGTGCACGCACAGCAGCACACCCCTGCTTCCGGCCTTTGTGCTCGCGCTCGCACCCCTACGCCCCTGCTATTGGCCTCCGCGCGCCCACCCACGCGCGTGCGCGCTGAGATCTCTGTGCGCCTGCCCTTCTGTCAGATCCCTGTTTAAAAATGAAGGCGTACTGCAAGTACAGGGAGTGCGGACATCCTAACGGAACGCGTTGGTTACTGTTTGTATCTCATACAGCCATGCACCCCCTGTGGATGACAAGGGGCCACACATGAAACCTAATACGCCCAGGGGAGGCCTGCGTGACAGCCTTACACACTCTGAGACCTAAAGTAACCACACAGGATGGTCTGAAATTAATACTAAATAACCAAAAGCAGGTTATGGCGGGCAGTCGTTGTCCTGGGCTGGAAAATTCCGTGACAGAGTCAATCGTGAGCCTGTCTACTGTCGTTTTGCATCTGTGATAACACACCTTTGGAAGGTCAGGTAACTTCACTTTATTCCAAATTCCGGGGGTGCACGCCATACCCACTGCCACAGACCCCCTCACTGTCACTGTTAACCGGGTTCATTGCTGACTGTTAACTGTCCTGTGCCTACCTGCCTGTGTAAAGGAAGCAGGTGCCTATCATTTCACCCTTCCCCCCAGTCCCGTGGTTTTCCCTGCTTTGCTTCCTCCCACATCCCTAATCTACCACCAGTGGGTTTCCCGTGATCCCCCTTCTGCCTCCTCTTTTGATTGTAACGTAGAAAAATAAGGTGCATAACTGCCTTTTCTGGGACATTTTCTCGAGCCGTTGAGGTTTTGCTTCCCTGCAATTGTCATCAGTTTGGCTCAAATAAACTCATAAAATTTCTTACAGATTTGGCCATCTCTCATGTTGACACCTCTGTCCTGAGCAAGATGAGGAACGCGGGCAGGAGCAGGAAATGCTCCTTTCTGCCCCTAGCTTTTTCTTGCTACGTACTCAGTTTCTCAGCAGGCTGCGGAGAGACTAACTGAAGATATGCTTGATGACTTCGAAAGTTTTGAGCCTCTTCAGATGGATAAAATAACAGGGGTAAAATTAAGAAATGGTTTCACAGCAAAGATCAAAGCCAGGGCACTGCCAGAAAAACCAAAGGTTTTGACCGCACAGTCCTTCAGTTGTCCAATATATTTCTTCCTGCTTTTCTGTGGGCTTTCTTCCCTGCAGATAACATCTAGGCCTGAGGCATGAACTGGGCAAATGACTGCTCGCTAACCTTGGGACCAGCTGCAGTGAGTAATGACCCCCGCCCTGGCGCCAGCCGACTGCGGAACGATGAGAGGACACACCTGGGAGGCTGATGCATGTGCTACTGAGCGCCTCCCCGAGACCCCCACCCTTAAAGCTTTTATGACGAAGGACCCACCAGGCGGTCCCTCTCCCCGGCCCTGGAGCATTCCTCTGCCTTTCCTTCCTCCTCTTTCTCCCTGCTCCTCACACGTGCACCTCCTAAACTCTAGGGGACCCCATGAGCCTTGTAACTGGGGCAGCAGTGGGCAGCGGTCCTGGGCAGACCCCCTGAATCTGTCTCCCAAAGCCCCTCTTTTCTCTCACTTCCCAGGGAGCTACAGCAGCCCCCCAAGGCTCATATCTAAGCCCCCCTGTTGCTGCTTCTGTGCTATGCCCTTCCTCGTCTTCCTGTTCCAGCTTTAATAACCGCACCCTCAGCCACCTGGACTCCTGCAGTGACACCCTCCCCATGCGAAGTCGACAACCCACACACTACCAACCGGCCCTAGGCAGACCCACCCACGGCCAGGTCTCCTTTCTGGTAACATCTCTACGGCAGAAAACAAGGCCATGTTCCAAAAGCACTGGGGACCTGTCAGAGGGACCCCGAGGCCAGTCTAAATGGGCGCCCACTGGCGGATCAGGGACAATTTAATGATCAGAATAATGGTAGTAACAATTACAATCCATTGAATAATGGGGAGACTGAGTTCATATAAATATAAATACATGAATAAGTTAAATGCTTAAGGAACAGAATATTTGCACAGTTTTAAAGCACCTCACTACAAAATACTTGCTGGTTACAAAGGTGGAAAGAAGGGCTGGATAGTGGAGAAGCAGCGTTGGACTGGGCCGACGGGAGCCTATTCACAGAGGCTTCTGTGTGCTGTCCCTGTGCACTGGTCATTCTTCAAACAGTTCTCACTCTCTGTCAGAACAAGATGTTTCGATACAACAAGATGTTACATGCCCAGCTCTGGACCTGGCCGTTTTTTCAAATGCCGTCTTAATCTAGTGATCAGAGTGGCCAGTCAGCCGCTGGGCAGGCGGAAACCGTGTGCCACCTGATAAGATGCAGGGAGAACATTCTTCGCTCCGGTGGCATGCTCACCAAGGACACATGACTCAACCTGGCGGTGAGGAAACAAACAGAGATGAACTCGAGTGGAAAGAACTAAAAAAAAGATCAGCCTGTAACCTTCAAAGTGTCGAGTCCCAGGGTGGCCAAGCTTGCAGAACAGCTCACGGGAGACAAGCAGTGGGCGCTGGGTGGGAGTCTATGGTGTGGAGAAGGTCACCCGTGAGCCCCCAGGACTGGGGAGGAAGGGGGTTCCAAAGGCCATGCATGATAAGAATGAGAAGGGAGGGAGGGTGGTGTAGCCAAACAACTGGTGCTTCAGGGCCTGCCACAAAGGGAGGGAGAGTCGTCTAGAGCTGCCCAGGAGCCCTGTGGGAGGAAGCATGTCGTGGGATGTGGGAAGACAGCGTGCGGGAGAAGTGGGTGCCGTTTTCACGAGGGGCAAGCAGCCTCGCGGGTGGAGGGCAGGCCGTGCCAGCAGTGGGCCCTGCGGCCAGGGGCAGGCCCAGGGTGTGCAGGTGGCACAGGGTTGTCGCGGAGCAGGGAAGGTGGACCCTGTGGTGAGCTGTGGCGGAGGGCAGCCCTCTAGGCCCACCCCACCAGATGGAGGGGACCTGTGGGATAGGCCTGGAGAACACCCCGAGTTCGGGCTAGGCCTAGCTGACGGGGCCCAAGACCTGCTGTGCTCTGACAAGGGTTAGTTAGCCAGGCGGCAGCAGTCTCAGCACCTACCAGCACGTGGGCATTCAACCTGGAGAAGGTGAGCATGACCGGTCCTCACTTGGGAACACAACTTGTCCAAGGGCCAATTCTGCAAGTCATCAGCAGGGGGCGGTAGTGACAGCCTGAGGGCCGGGGAGCCCTCCCTGGCTGCTTCTGCTGGAGAAAAGTGCCATTACCAAGCACGGTGCTGCAGAGACACTTCTCCTGGATCAAATATATATATTAGTTTAAAGTCTGACCCAGGCTGGGGTGGCTCAGTGGATTGAACACCGGCCTGGGAACTGAAGGGTCTCGGTTTGATTCCCAGTCAGGGCACATGCCTGGGTTGCAGGCCAGTTCCCAGCAGAGGGTGCCGGCGAGGCAACCACACATTGATGTTTCTCTCACTCTCTTTCTCCTTCCCTTCCCTTCTCTCTAAAAATAAATACATAACATCTTTAAAAGTAAAGAAATAAAAGACGTCTGGAAGCAACCCAGGTGTCCACCAATGGATTAATGGGTAAGCCAAATGCAACGCACCTGTACAAAGGGCTGTGGGTCAGCCTTGGGAAAGAGGGCGACCTTGACTCCTGCTCCGACGTGGATGAGCCCGGAGGGCAGCATGGTGAGTGAGGTGGGCCAGTCACAATAAGATGCACACTGTGGGATTCTGCAGATGTGAGTTCCCGAGAGGAGCTGAATCATGGAGGAGAGAGCTCTGCTTGCCGGGGGCTCCTGGGGGCTGGTCAAGGGGGACGCAGTTTCGGTTTTGCAAGGTGAGAGGTTTTGGAGGCCGGCTGCACAGCCAGGTGAGTATATTAACACACTGAACTGGACATGTAGAAATGCTTAAGACAGTGCATTTTATGTTGTATATTTTTACCACAATAAACATTTCTCCTTTGACCTAATTATCCTTGGTTCAAAATGGAATTCATTTTGGGGAGATTATCTGAGCTTACATTAAAGGTACATGCATGAAAATATTAACTGTAGCATCCTTTTAAATAAACAAAAAGTAAGAACTATGTCTTTAATCATGAGCAAATGAGTGTGCCCTCATTCTAGCAAGTTACACGCAATCATTAAAAGATGCTAGTTGGACAGGGATCGCTTTACCAGGACCTGGACACCAGGTGGCGTCCTGGGAAGTTGTGAACTCCGGAGAGGTGACTGTGGACTTCACCCCAGGTGGGCGGGGGAGCGGGCACTCTGCTTCCTGCTCAGGGGACCCGCGCAGAGATGGGTGACAGAGGACCGAGGGAGGCTGTTCTTTGGGGGGGGTGGGAACCTCTTCTCCCAACCAGCTGGAGGCCAGGGAGGAGCCGTGTGAGGTGAAGAGAATTCCCCGCCTCCATATGGCTGTGGAGGCTGCATGTGCCAGAAGGGGATCTGCTTCAAAGCCCGGCACTCTGATGGAGGCCGTCCTGTGGGGTGAAATCGGGCAGACTGATGGCGGTGGGCCCTATTGTTTTCCTGAGGTGAGGCTGGGACTTGTAAGGACCTGTCCCAGAAGCCCAGGGACACTGGAAGGGAGTGGCAGGTGGCCACTCCCCGGCTCCAGCAGTCTGAGCTCCTAGCTGGAAAGAACTGGACTCCTCCCGTCCCAGGTGGTGATGATTCAGAAGAGACTTGGCCCTGCTCTGCTGAGACCTGGAGAGCCAGGGGCAGGACTCTGTAGCTGGAAACTTCTATAGCTTTGCTGCCAAACCCACGAGTTTCTCCAGGTCCCCGCTCTTGATATAAATTGTCCTGCCCCAAGTCTGGGGGTCCCAGGTCCGGTGCCTGTCCCCTGGCTATGAGAAGGCCGGGGAAAGCCCTGGCTGGTGTAGCTCAGTGGATTGAGCCTGAGCCGGCGAGCCAAAGGCCGGGGAGCGGGGGCTCTGGCGTCAGCAGCAGCTTCCGTAGGCTCTGCTCCTGGCTCGTGGTCTGTCATGCACAGGGCAGCGACTCACTTGTGAAGGAGCAAGAAAAAAGAAAAAGTGACTCCCACTCTGGTCCACACTTCCAGCTCCCCCAAGGCACATTCACTTGGTTCTTCCCTTTACTTAAATGTGTATCCGCTCTTGTCTAATTTAATGCAACCCTCCCATGTACAAAAACACGGGTCACCCCTTTCCCTGCAAGGGACAAACCAAAGACTCAGTATCAGTGTGTCCACTGCCAAGTTCAGGGTCTCTCAGTGATGCCCAGTTCTGCTCTGGTGAAAATAGCTCCAGCCACCTACAGCAGGTCAAGTTCCTGACCTAACGCCTAACCTTGGTTATTTTCTAAAAACAGATTCGTGAACGGGGAACATTGGAGACGTGACCAGTCTCTCACAGGCAGTGATTCTAACCCTCACTTTTAATTCATTTCTCCTCTATTACTGTTTTATTGTCTTCTTAGCCAAGAGAAAAAATAGTATTGTACCAAAAAGAGGTGTTCCCTGAAAAAACATGGGGATGGAAGGTGGAGGGGTCAGGGTTTGATGAATGACCACAGGCCTGACTGAATGGACACATGTCCCGCTGTCCTCCCTGGGGTCCAGTCATGGGTGGCCGTCACTGCACTGAATAAACGTAAGCAGGGACGTGCCTCCTCCTTTGGGCTGGCAGGGGGTGGGCGCTTGGCAAATTGCTGAGAACGGATTCCCAGCTCACCTCTGCCCTTCCTTCTCCACGTCTCCACTGGTCAGGTGACAAGCATGAAGTGGTGACAAGTTAGCGAGTTCTTAGGTGACCGTGATAGGAAGGCTTTGGAGAAATAATCAGCTTCTGAGACCAGGGTCATTTCACAAGCATTTTATTAATCAGCTGGCTCATCCCAGAGAAATAATTGCTGCCCAGAGCTTTCTGGAAGCCAGGGGCCTGCTCCCTGGGCCCCCCTTCAAGAATCTGGGTCTGCAGGGCCTTAGCTGAGTCCTTTCTGCTGGAAGTACGAGTGACAGGCAGACGTGATGGCAGCCACAAACACTATGAACTCGTTGAAGTCCACCGTGGCGTCTCCGTTGGCGTCCAGGTCCTTGAGCAGTTTGTCCACGGCCTCCTTGTCCCTTCCGCTCTAGAGGAGACAGGGGGTCAGGGTCAGCGATGAGGGTGCTGCGGGGCACCCTGGCCGCCTCGGGGCAGAGGAAGGGAAACCCAGTCCGTGGTCCCGCACACTGCGCGCAGCAGACACGTGGCCCCTGGAAGGAGACGGGGGCTCTGGGAGGCGGGGATCTGCCCTGACGCGTTTGAGGGGATTGTCTTTGGGTTGCACAACGCGCTCCACCTGGAGGGTGCCAGAAAACGCGCTCTAGCCCAGTTCGCTCGCAGGGTTCAGGTGGCTCTGTGGGCGTCACCCTGGCAGGTGTGGCTCAGGACCGGGTCAAGGCATAAGAGAGGCCACCAATTGGACCTGCCTGAGACACTGGGGAGAAGAGAATCTGGGGTTCAGACAGGGCTCCTGCCCTCCGCGGCTTGGGCCCTAAGGCCCCAGGCCCTCTTTCAGAGGGTGGGGTGGGGTGGGGGTCTCCGAGAACCCGCTCCGTGACAGTGCTGGGTCACCAGCGTCACTGAGGAAGCAAGCACCGTCACGGTGCAGATCCGAGCAGCAACAGCAGGGGGCGCGGACGACCCAGCCCTGCACCAGCAAAACCTAGAGCGACACTTTGCGGTGCGGCCGCAGGGCCGGACGCTGGGCGCTTTTAAAGGGGAGCCGGCCCGACAGCCACTCAGGGTTTGTTTATGGAGCTCCGACTGCGCATTGGGGAAATGCCACAGCGGGCGCTGCTGAGTGCGTCCCAGCCGCCGGCCGCCACCGGGCTGCCCCGGGCTTCTGCGGTAGCCCCCAAGCTTGCGAGTCCCGGCTTGGCTGCCGGTTCTCCAACTGTGCTCCCGGGACCCCCTGCGCGGGCGGGGCGTGCAGTGAGCATGGACATTAAGTTCAAAAAGAAGTGAAACTGCGCATAAATTAGAAATTCGTTCACATCAACTTTCACGTGGAAAGCGGCTGCGTGTATAAGGACTTTCTTCCTCCACATTTTTGTATTTCTACGTTTCCTACCAGACACGTCGATTATAGAGAAAGGCAGGTGAACTTTAGTTTTAAAAACGTCTCTTTGTTGCATTCGCATGTGGAGGGAGAGAAACACAATGTGCTGAAGCGCTGGGTGTCTTTAAGTGACATTCCAGGCTCCACATTCCAGGATCTGCACACGCCCCTGGGGGCACGGAGGTAGAGCCCGGGAGAGGCAGAGGGGGAGGCGAATAAAGGAGGGGGGGGCAGGCAGAGGAAGGCAGACCCCCAGTTTAAACCCCCCGGGGAGGCCCCCCTGCCAGGCCCCCAGAAGGTGGGCTCTGGACGGACAGGTGCCAGGATGGGACACCTCCCCGTTGTATTGCTGTCAGTGTCGCTGACACCAGGCTCCCAGGGACCTGGGAATGGGGGGAGGGAGGCGAGCAAGCAGCCAGTGGACCGGGATGTTTGTGGCCAGAAGCCTTGGAGAGGGACAGTTCTGAGGGACCAGCACCCCCCCTCAGAGATGGCCCTGGATTTGACCCCTGTGCCCCTGCCCCCCCCCCCATTCAGGTCCCATCCCGGGCCGGGCCATGGGGCCCCAGAAGAGGAAGGATGCTGGTCACAGTCAGTTGGTGCCCCAGCTCTTGCAAGGGTTGCCCTGGCCTGTCCCCTTCCTGCTCAGAAGCTCCAGTCCCCTGGCCCTGGGGCAGCAGGTCCGGCTCTCAGCATCCCTCAGTGGCTGGAGCAGCTGGGTCTTGATAGTTACTGCCCCTTCTCCCAGCCTCTCCCTGTCTCCCTCGACCCGCCAGCAGGCCCCTCCCTGAGGTGGAGCCCCGCACTCTGCCCCGAGGCCCGCGACTCGCCTGCAGGAAGCCGGGCAGCTCCTTCTCCAGGAGCACTTTCATCTCCCCCTTGCTCAGACTCCGCGCGTTGCCGTCTGCGCCCGCGTACTGGGAGAAGACCTCGATGATCAAGGCCATGGCGGTCTCCAGTCTCGACATGGTGCTGGCTGCGGCTGGTGTGGCTGAGGAAATGGCCGAGGGGAGTCCTCTGGGCCCTTTATAAAGCCCAGCTTCCTGTTGACACAGAGGGTGGGACAAGCGGAGCCGGGCGAGCCCGCCCTCCCCCCCCCCCCCCCCGCCTCTCCCGGGGCCGCATTACTCAGTGCCAGAGAAATGCATCCTCCGAACTAACTTCCTGGTGCCCTGACCTGGGACCCCGGCCAGGCCCAGGTACGGCCCCCCACCCCCGCTTCACTGTGCTTCCCTTGGTCTTGGGGTCGTCACTGAGTGATAATGGTGACCCCCACCCTGGGGGACAAGCGGGGTGTCTGGGGCCAGTGGGTGCCTGGGCGGGTTTGTTGAGTAGGGAGGGAGCCAGCCTGTGCTTTGGCCCCCGTCGGTCCCTGCGGCTACCAGGTGGGCCCGGCGCTCCGCTGGGCAGGCGGACAGAGGAAACCGTTGTGTGAATGACTGTGGGACCTGCCTGCTTTTCACAACACCTTGTGACTCATCCGGCGGCCCTGCCCCGCCTCAGCTCCCAGCCGGCTCCGCAGACCCTGCGGTTACAGGAATTAGACCTGGAGAAGGCTCGCTGGGCCTCTCTCTGCTCCGGGCCCGGGTGTGGCCCTGTGGGAGGCCTCAGCAGTGAACGGGGTGTGGACGAACCTGGGCCACGTAGCAGAACTGACAAGTCCATGGGAGGCCCGGGCCACAGCCTTACCCCTCAGAGACGGAAAGTAACCACAGGGGATGGTCTGAAATTAAAATAAGGAAAAGCAGGTCAAGGCGGGCAGTCCCCGTCCTGGGCTAGAATCTCCCAGTAACAGAAAGTCAACCTTTGCCTAGATTGGGCGTCTTTCTGTATCTCTGGTAACACGGCTTTGGGATGTTGGGTTGCTGCCCTTCCTTCCAACCCCCTGGGGCACAGCCACCTCACCAACCACACACCGGGGCAGAGTCACCAACGCCCTCACTCTTACTGTCACCAGGCTGGCAGCTGACTGTTAACTGTCCTGCGCCCGCCTTTGTACAGGACGCAGTTGTCTATTCTTCTCTCCGCGCCCCCGCACCCCCCAGTCCCACAGGCTTCCCACTGTGCTTCCTCCCGCCTCCCTAATCTACCACCAGTGGGGTCCATGCAACCCCCTTCTGCCTCCTTTCCATTGTAAGGTGTAAAATAAGGGGCAAAACTGCCCATTTTCTGGAGCATTTTCTCAATCCGTTGAGGTTTTGCTTCTCTGCAATTGTGGTCATTTTGGCTCCAATAAACTTATAAAAGTTCTTACAGGTGTGGCTGTTTCTGACGGCGACAAGGGGACCACAGGGAGAGGGCTCCTCCGGGCCTCTGCGCAGGTCAGGGGCGCTCCAAGCGTGGGGTCTGGGTCAAGTTTGGGTCCCCTGGCTCGGGTGGCCTCTCTCTTCTCCCCAGTGGTGGGCACAGAAGTGGAGGCGTATGTCACCGGGGAAGCCTGCGGCGCCCCCACTGCCCACTGTGGAGGCAGGAGGAGAGCCCGGATAGAACTTGGGGGGCAGGGAGCGGGTTGGCACTTAACAGCACCAGCCAGGGTGACCATGGCCGATGTTCTTTGGACATGTCACCCTCTCCAGGTTTCCTGCCTCGGCGTGGCCCCACTGGGAGTCACTGGGGAAGAGGGAAGGACCAGTTCCACGCATCCCTCTTACGGTGGGATTCCGGGCCCACGTGCCAGGGGCGCAGCCTCTCAACCAGAAGGTGGGTCCTCCCAAGGGTATCTGCTGTTCTCAGCCAGCCTCGGGGGCCCGCTGGGGTCCGACCTTGCAGGCCTGCCAGCCCGCCGGAGTAAGTGGCCAGCAGAGGCCGGCCAGTTCCCCAGTGCGGAGGACAAGGGGCCCCGTGTTAACCTGAGAAGCCGCAAGGAGGCCGGGTCCAGGGAGAGCTGCGAGGAAGAGAGTGTGGCGACAGGGGAGGACCTCTGACCCAGGGGAACGGATTCGGCTCCGACCCCACCAGAAACCAGTCTTCCATCTGGAGCTTAACTGCCTCTCCTGCGCTTTGTCACGTGCGTGCGCCGGAATCAGAGCCCCGAAGGGTGGGTTCTGGAGGAAATGGCCTCCCACCGCAGCCCCTAAAGCGCACAACAGGTGTTCTCTCTGTCCAGCCACAGCCCAGGAAGGCCGTCCCGGGGGCATTTCTCACTTCCTTCAGCTCCGGGCGTGGTCACTGGATTTTACCCAAGTGCCACCATCTCAAGAATACACGTGTCAGCCATGATTTTGTGTGGGCTGAGGCGTCTTGCCGGAGAGCAATAGTTTTTATGGTTGGCTAATTATTTTGAAAAAATGAATTCCCCAGTTGGGGATTCCCTCAGAGTCGGTGATGGAGGGGCTCCCTTACTAGGCAAGCAACACAAACCATGTGTAACGTCTGCCTGTTCCATTCTATGGTGCTTCCGTTGTGCCTGTCCCCCCGCCCCCCGTCTCTGGATTGGAGAACATACAAACGGTACGAGGAAAACTCACCCGGGTGCAGGTGCAGAAGGTTTCCTCCTCCTCCCGTGGCTGAGCGCCCTCCGCGCGGTGCTGCTCAGGCTGGAATCTGCAGCGAACGTGGCCTTTCTCCTCTCGAAACGGTCACCAGCCGCCCTGTGAATCTGGGGGAGGGACGGATGGCTCAACTTTACCGCAAGGAGATGTTCTGCATTATTACCGAGGGCTCCTTGACCAGCAGACAGGGACCCAAACATGAGTAACATTAACCAGCATAAAGGGACTAATGAATTAGCAACATTTCACCGGATGACGGACGAAGACCACAACTCACCACAGGAGAGTTTTGTCCGCTGGGAAGACATCACAGGCTTTCCAGCACCGTCGGAAGGGACCTGCTTGGGGGCCTAACGACAAGTGGACGTGTGCCCCCGTCTCTGACACTGGCCTCCACTGTCAGCTGAGATCAAGAACTCTTCAGGGGCCAGGCGCTGCCGGCCACGAAGGTGGACAGCCGTCCCCGACAGCCGCAAGGCCTGCAGGCTCACCAACGGAAGCTGATACTGGCCGAATGTTCACGGGGTGACTTTTATCCCTATTATCCTCCCCGTGTCTCCCTGATGGAGACGGTGTGTCTCCCGGGGCCCCTCCCTTACTGGACATGAAAAACTTAACTTGGGTACCTGCTCATCTCTCCCACCTACTAGACAATGATACTGTAATATTGTTATGATAACAAAGTTAGTGGTTTGTTGGCCACACGTTGGGCTTCTCCCTGTGTCAGTATAAGCTTCGGTACATTTTTTTCCTGATGTGTCTATTATGAAGGACCCAACTCCGGGAAATTCCTCCAAGAACACGTCCCTCGCCATCCCCCTGTTGGAATCACACACGGACCCACCCAGGTGACTGTTGTGTCGCTATAGCAACAGATGACGAAGCTACCTGGACGTGGCGATGAGAAACACCGGATGTGGCGGGAAGGGCTTGCAGCCACCTGCCCCTCTGTCCCAGCGAGTCTTGCCCTCGGACTCACCAGCCACGGCCTTGTGGCTGGATGTCTGTGAAGAAAGGAAAACCACATCAGGGGCCCCCGTTTCCAAAACTACGATGCTGAGACGCGCGGAGGGTGCTCGGCTGGCTGGGGCGCCTGGTCCCCGCAGGCACCGCCTTGCCTGCTGTCAGACGGGCCGTCCTGCTGCTCACGTGTCGCTGTTACACGTGAGCAGCAAAACGAGACACAGGTGGCGAAGAGACGCGGGCCCTGGCAGCTCGAAGATGGGAAATGACCCCGAATAATGTTAACAAGGTCGTGTGGGCTCCGACTGCCTCCCAGTCACCCCACTCTTTCTGAACAGCAGGGACAATCTGACCTCGAATGCCATCTGTGGCTCGGTCCCGCCCGGTCCCCAGCATCCACCCCAACACACGCGCTGACTCTGACAGGAGTGGTCTTCCTGGGGACCTGGGGACCTCGTTACCCAGCCAAGTGTCGGTCATCAGTGCGTCCTTGGGATCGATTCATCACCAGAAGGGGACGTGTGGAGGAAAAGGGGCCGCATTTTAACCTGGCTCAGGGGAGGCCTGCGTGGCAGCTTGTGGAACTCAGGGACCTGGAGTGGCCACCAGGGTGGTCCGAGGAATGAAAACTGCAACCGAGGGTGGGGCGAGGGGGTGTCTCTGCAGGGTTTTTACTGCACGGCTAGGACACCGGGCGGCCGGAGCGCAAACAGGAGAGAGTGCCAGTTCGCGTCCCGGGCCAGCAGGGAACGAACGTTCTGTCCTGGGTGTTTGTGCGACTTCTAAGTTTTGAAAATTTAACAGAAATTGCATTTGTCCAGAAAGCTAGTTTCTTCCGAAAAGGAGGCTGGGGGTCGCATCATGCAGGAAAACCCTCTTTCTGTCCCTGACCATGGAGGGGCCATTAACCCCCATCAGGTGTGGGCCCCCCGAGGTCACCGGTTCCCACCGAGGTGTCCTCTGAGTTCCTCAGGGTCCTGGGCCACAGAAGTATTAGCGAGTCGGGGGCAGGGGGCTGGAGGAGCTGGGTCACAGCAGGGTGGGGGCTGGGAGGCCGTCTCCTGCCGCCGGCCTGGGTGTCCCGGACAGCTGCTGTGGGAAAGCGGGCACCTCTGCCCTCAGCACCTGCACCCCCCCCCACCCCAGTCCTCGTCATCTCAGGGCCACACACCTGAGCAGGGCCCGGAGCTGGCCCCTGGCCGCCACTGCCCACTGCACCGTCTGCCTGGCTGACTCAGACTCCGAGGAGCCGGCTGCTCCCAGGGCCGGGGTCAAGAGAGGCCAGGGGAACCGGAGTCACCACTTTCCTCCTCGGTCAGCAGGTGGAAGGGGGACACAGAGGAGCCAGGCAGTCGGTCACCCGGAGGCCCTGCCCGGGGGCGAAAGGAGCCCAGGGGGCCGTTCTGTTTCTGGGGGGGGAGGGTGGGGGGGAAATGTCCCCTGTGGGTCTGAGCCTGAGGGGGGATCAGAAGTTCTGGGAAAGCCTCCAGGGCCCGCATCAGGTGGGGTGTCTGAGAAGGGTGTTTGTGCTCTGCAGCCTGGTGGGGGGCCTCGGGTGTGGCCCCGGTCGGCACAGGCCCCTGGTCAGCCTGGGCCCCAGACCATGTTGGGGCAGCAAGTTCACAGGAGCCACCAGGTCACTACACTGGGCTGGGGGACACACGGTGGGACAGACTCAGATCCTGACCTTGGGGTGGGGGTCCCCAGCCAGAGAGGGAGAGGCCAGGAGAGGTGACTGAAGGAGGGAGGAGCAGAGGGCAAGAAGGGGTCAGCCACAAACCCACGCCCCTAAAACACAAAGCAAAGCGGGGGTTTGCAGAGGGAGGTGGGTCCCGCGTGCTGCAGAGGGGCCGGGAGAGTGAGGGCACATGGGGTGGGGGGGGGGTCATGCTGGGGCAGTGGGAAGTTGGGGTGGGCTGGGCAGGGGGTGCACAGACCAGGAAAGGCCCTGCAGGCCGGCCTCCCAGGTTTTTCTCCTGTAGACGGGCCTCTGAGCCCTGGCTGCACAGCCAGGCTCGTGGGTGACTTTGAGTGCCAGCTTGGCCTGGGCCCACCCACCCACAGCTGCCCTCTTCCTTGGGCTGGGTTGGTCCAAAGCTTCCCAGAGCCCCTGCTGTGCAGCCAGCTGGGAGGGATACAGCCAGGCCAGCCAGATCGAGGGCCCCTCGGGCCCCTGCTGGATGCTGAGGGCGAGGCTGGAGTTGCGAAGCTTCGAAGTGAGGAGCCCGCCAGCCATGGCCAGTTCGGGGGTCCTGCAGCCGCCTGCCCGAAGGACATCTGGGAGCTGGTAGACGTCTGGGCAGGGAGTAAAGGAGAGAAGGATGAGGAGGGGCCTCGCTGTCTGTGTGACCTCCTCACCTGGCAGAGGGGAAACAGAGGCTCAGGGCAGGGACGTGGGCAAACCAGCCCTCTCGGTGACTCATCTCCCGTCTCCCCGCCCGGACAGGTCTGGCGCCACACCAGCTTTATTCCTGAGAACTCCTAAGACTAGCACTCTGGTGAGGGGGCAGGCTGAGAGTTCAGAAACTGTTTCGCAGGAGCGAATGAATGTCAGGCATCCTGGGCCATGCACGGAGCAGTGAGGGCAGGGCCTCATCTTGTCCTGGGGAAGGTGCTGGTGGGGTGGCCACTGCTGTTGGCAAACCTCTCTCCAGGCTCCAAAGCTAGCCCAGCCTCCCTCCCAGCCTCTGGCGCTGCCAGCACACCTTGGAGCTCCTTGGCGTTGAGCCCACCTAACTCAGGTTCCCACCTCCCCCATCCCATGGCCTTTTTCCCTCCGTGTGTCTGTCCCTCCTCCGGACACCAGCCACATTGGATTAAGGGCTAACTCTGCTCCAGCCATGACCTCATCTTCACTTGCTCCACCTGTAAAGCATGACGCTACCTCCAGATAAGAGCCCGTTCCGAGGTTCTGGGAAGGACATGGCTTTTGGGGAAACTATTCGACCCAGTGCCTTGGTGCAGGGCTTGGTTACAGCGCCCAGCTGCCTGGCTGTGAATGCCCTGACGTTGCAGCAAGCCTTCCGCAGACTTCGCTTTGATTCCTGCTCCCGTCCTTTATTTGCTCTGTGACCCCTGGGACAAGTTCTCCTGTAACCCAGAGTCAGTATTCGATGAAATGCTGGTACTACCATCACTCTTCAAAGGTGGAGAGAGCACTGAGAGGCGTGGAAGACGCGGGGAGAACCGCAGCTGAGCACGTCCGGCCCTGGAGGGTGTCGGAAGCCCCAGCACTCAGCACTTACTGCCATTCCTCTCCCTTCTCTTCCCTCCACGCCTCCCAGCTGCCTTCTCTGCACCAGGTGCTTGAAGGCACAGCTGTGTCTGGACATTGAGAAGCAAACAGACAGCAACAGGACAGGGTCATGCCAGAGGCCGGCGGGAGCCTGGAAGTCTTCTGGGGGGAGGTGGTGCCTAAGATGAGGCAATGAGACAGAGGGGCTTGCTTGCTCAGCCCAGGGGTCTTCAGTGGGGTCCCCTGGGTAGCAGCATCAACAGGCTCTGAATTAGGAGCCCCGGGGCAGGGCCCTGGCCCCAGGGGGCGTTGAGAGCTCCAGCAGACGGCCTGCTGGGCGATCTCTGCACGAAGGGAGGGCGTTCTCCCTAGAGAATTGAAGTGTGGAAAAAAGCACAATGAGAATTCCATGACTTTTGTTCCTCTTTGGTCTTAACTCCACCACATTCCAAAGTAGGACTGTGTCCCTTTGACTGGAAAACAGGAGCCAAGCCCATGGCCCTTGTAGGGCTGGATTCCTGACATTTTTCTCGCTGTTTTGTGACTGTGTCAACAGGCTAGGAAATGAACTTCTCTGTCTTTACATTTTTGCACTGAGCAATGCTTCCTCCCCCCATTTGCATTGTTTAATTTGCCTTTTAAACAGAAGACCTTCTGGAATAATTTAAATAAAAGAATAGAGATATAAAATTGTAAGTCAGATTTGAAAGATTATTCAGAGTGCCCGAGGTTCAAAATACACAGTGGAGGTCTACAACCTTTTATTCAATTTGTCACTCAATTTGCCACCTCCTTGCGCTACTAAAATTTTACCACTATGCAGATTCAAGGTCTTGTAATACTCCCCAGATAGACACTGAGTCATTCATTCTTGGATGGATCCATTCATTTAGTGTGTAGGCTTAAATAACTAACTTTTGCACAAAAATGAAAAGGAAACCAGACAAAATAAATCAGATGATATAAGATTTTATACGGCGCCCTGGCTGGTGTAGCTCAGTGGACTGAGGATGGGCCTGTGAAGCAAAGGGTCGCCTGTTCGATTCCCAGTTAAGGCACATGCCTGGGTTGCAGGCCAGGTCCGCACTAGGGGCCACATGAGAGGCAACCACACACATTGATGTTTCTCTCCCACTCTTTCTCTTTCTCTCCCCCCTCTCTAAAAATAAATACATAAAATATTTTTTAAAAAAGATTTTACACGGCTGTAGTAATTTGCTTCAAAATATTCCTTTGCCCTGGCTGGGTGTCTCAGCTGGTTGGAGTGCCCCTCTGGTGCAGCGGGGTCTCGGTTCCTTCCTCGGTTGGGGGACGTGCAAGGGACACCGAGGGGATGGTGGAGCAGCAACTCGATGTGTTTGTCTCTCTCTCTCTTAAATTAATACATTAAAAATATATTCCTGCCCTGGCTGGTGTGGCTAGTCTGTTTCTCTCCTTCCTTTCCCCTCTAAAGATAAATAAATAAAATCTTTAAAAAAAATATTCCTTTGAGCTTAGTTTCCAGAACTAATTAGCTTCCCTTTGGCTATTGCTAGACAGAGGTGTGGCCAGTGTTGAATGTAAAGGTCTCTTATTTACTTTTACAAAACGTGTTGGGGCGACATTGGTTGATGGAGTTACATAGGTTTCGGGTGTGGGTGTACGGCTCTTGTGTCATCTGCACACGACGGTGCTCTGTGTGTGCAGCACCGAGGGTCTCCCCGGTGCCCTCTCCCACCTCCCCCACCGCCCTTCCGTCTGGTGGGACCACACTGTTGTCCGTGTCTACAAAGGTTTTTTTGTTTTTTGCTTAACCCCTTCGCATCTTCTGCCTACCCCTGCAAGCCCCGTCCTCTCTGACAGCTGCCAGTCTGTTCCCTATGAATCTATTTCTGTTTTGCCCATTAGTTAATTTTGTTCATTAGACCCCCACATATAAATGAGGGCATACGGTGCGTGTCTCTCTCCGGCTGGCTTATTTCACTTAGCATAATAATGTCCGGGTCCATCCATGCTGTCACAAGAGGTAAGAGTTTCTTTTTTTTCCATAGCAGAGTAGAATTCCATTGTGTAACTGTACCACAGCTTTTGTATCCACTCATCTACTGAGGGGCACATGGGCTGCTTCTAAATCTTGGTGACTGTAAATAATGCTGCAACGAACACAGGGGTGGATAGATTCTTTCTCATCAGTGTTTTGGGATTCTTAGGATATATTCCCGAAAGTGGGATCGCTGGGTCGGAAGGCAGTTCCCTTGCCAAGTTTTCTGAGGAAACTCCATACAGTTTTCCACAGTGGCTGCACCCGTCTGCCTTCTCACCAACAGTGCCCTAGGGTTTCCTTTGCTCTTCATCCCCACCAACATTTATTGTTTGGTTTATTGCTGATGGCTGTTTTCACCCGTGTGAGGTGGAATTCCACTGCGGTTTTAACTTTCATCTTTCCAATTAGTGATGCTGAGCATCTTGTCATATGTCTTTTGGTCATCTGCAGGTCCTCTTTGAAGAAGAGTGATGTTAAAGCAAATTTACTGATGGGTACCAAGCAGTGCTCGGGACTTTAGGGACAATCAGCTGAATAAGAAGACCCGGCCCCCCTCTCCAATACGGTTCCCCCCTCCGCGCCCAGAGCCCTACTTCTGAAGAGGAAGGGTTTGTTAGGGTTTGCCCAGGGATGTCATAGCCTTTGAATACATAATTGTCATAGCACCTTCCTCTTTCCGTGCAGGTATGTCGCGTTTACATCTTAAAAACATTTAATTTACACGACCTCCAGGAAGACGCAGCAAAAGTACTCTCCCCTAAGCCAGGGGAGCAGAGAGACGTGGTCACGCTGAACGGAGGGGGGGCGGGGATGAGAGGAGCCTGCGAGCTCGTGCCCGAGTCCGTGCGCAGTCGCGGAGGAGCCGGCAGCGTCCCTCTCCGCTGACGTGCGCGCGCCCGCGCTCCTTCGACTAGCGTCGAGACCGTAAAGAGGCCCGGTCGTGTCGTGAACGGGGTCGCGACACGCAGGGAGCTGGTTGACGGCCGCGACTCCATTTTGTTCGCCGCTTCTCTGCTCGTAAGTCGTGTCTTGCTGTGGCTTCTCTGAGCCGGAAAGTTTAAAAAGGGTAAAAGTTTTCAAGAATATTCTGGAACTCTGTTGCTAAGCCTAGCGAGTCTCCATTTTCTCTCCGCAGCAAACGTTGAGACCGGTTCCGGAGGAGCGGCGAGGATGCGGCCCTTGGACATCGTCGAGCTGGCGGAGCCGGAGGAAGTGGAAGTGCTGGAGCCCGAGGAGGACTTCGAGCAGTTCCTGCTGCCCGTCATCAACGAGATGCGGGAGGACATCGCGGCGCTGACGCGGGAGCACGGGCGCGCGTACCTGCGGAACCGCAGCAAGCTGTGGGAGATGGACAATATGCTCATCCAGATCAAAACGCAGGTGGAGGCCTCGGAGGAGAGTGCCCTGAACCACCTGCAGAGCGACGGCGGCGACGGCCGGGCGGCCACGAGAGGCGAAAAGGCGGAGGAGAAGGCCAAGGAGATCGCGAAGATGGCAGAGATGTTGGTGGAGCTGGTCCGGCGGATAGAGAAAAGCGAGTCGTCCTGAGCGAGGGTCGGCGGTAAGGCGGGGGCCGCCGGGCGCCCTGCCCTGGGCTCATCTTCGGGGCTTACTGAATGGTGGTCCCCGCGGGAGGGCAGGTGGGGGGAGGGGAGAAGAAAAGCATGCTCAATTTTTCTTGCGGGAGGTGTTCGTAGATACTGTTCTTTTTACACTGGTAACTGGGAACAAAACAGTTGTTTTTCGGTTGGGTATGTATTTGGGTAATTGTGGGATAATGAACTTATCAGCTGCCTTGGGAACGAAATCACGACACAGGCCATGGAATCAGAATTTTCAGGGAGCAGGCCATTATTAGACAATTGGAGACCTTGCCAGACGCTGGGAGCGGGTGAGGTGGCATCTAGAAGAGGGGGCGTCCGGCCTCCACAGTTGGTTTTGGTTGCGAGGGGTTGCGTTTGCTTTTCTCTTGTAATCAGCCTCCTAATGATGGGTTTCTCCCCATTTTCGCCTTCAGGTTTTCAGCCAGTGGATTCTGGTCCGCTGACGGAGACTGGCTGACACCCTGGAGAAGCTGGACCCGGAGAGCCTTCCGTTCACTCCCTCGTTTTCTCTGTGCTCTGTCCCCATTCACACTACGTTTCTGCTGTGGTCTGCGGGTGACGACCTCAATACGAGTTTTGCCTGCCGGTGTCGTGTCTGGGAAGCAGGGCCCAGATCGTAAGTTCCTGCAGCGGTCCCCTTTGTTCTGGGCTCTGGTAGTTTCCAAATGTTGAGGTGCTTCGCCCTTTTATAGCTCCCTGGAACTGTGTGACATATGAGACTCAGAGTTGGGGGTCCCCAGCTCTGGAGGTGCTGAAGGAGCTGCTTGACTTCAGAAGACGACTCTGCAGCAAGCAGCTGCTAAAGAAGCTGACGAAGGGACCAGACTTCGACCGGGAATGGGAGTGGGCCGACCTGGCTGAAACTAATGACCCGGACGATGGCTGAAGATGGTGTTACCTGTATTTTGGGACTTGAAGTTTTTCTGTGAGAGACCAAAGGAGGAGAGATGTATTTTGTTCAAAGTTTAAACTTGACACGGCACACTGTCTGGTGTAACTGGTCTGGTCATTTTGTCTGCATGGCCTCAGTCAGCTTGTCTGATGTGGGACCTGGTAGGAGGTGAGGTCTCAGCACTCCTCACGCGTGGGGTGGCGCCCTGGTGTGTTGCGGAGGGCAGAGTGGAGGGGATGTGGCAAAGGCCCAGAAGGGCTGCGGAAGGAAAGCAAGGGCTGTCTGCACTGGACCCTAACGTGGACAGGGATGAGGCATCTTTAAGGTTCATAAGTTGTCCAGCTCTAAGTTCGTTTGAGTAGCAGACCTAACAAGTATTTGAGGTCAGAACCCTTCCATGTGTTTAAAAAAATTACCATGTTAATAAAAGTATTCATTTGCTTGAAAAGACAAATGATCTAAAAAGTTACTTAGAACTTTTGCTTCTTTTGGAATGAAATCTCCTTTTCATCATTGTTGAATGGAGGACGAATTCCTTACTGTTTGTTTCATGCCCCCAACCAGCCTCCAGCACAGGGCAGACTTACTCTGCAGGCCGCACTGGGAACCGGGAGGAAGGGGACCTCGTGTTCCATGGCCCAAGGCTCCTGCCCTCAGAAACCAAAGGACTTTCTGTGTTCCTACTTTGAAAATGGAAACAATTCTCTAGTCCTTGCACTCAGCCAAGGGGAGCTGGCAGACCTCCCTGCTTAAGAAACGAAGGACTCACTCACTCCCCCACCTGCTGTGAGGATCGCTGGCAGGTGCCCTCAGCGGGTCGCCCTCTGAGCAGCGCCTCTGCGTTAGAGCTGCCTTGGCCCGGGTTAAGCCCCCCTCCCAGGTGGCCGTGTCCACTGCTGCCCAGGCCGGGGGGCTGAGGGCCCTCTCGCTGTTCCCTGGGACAACTTCAAAGGGCGTCTCAGCTTCAGAGGCAGCTCCCTGTGGGGTCTGCGGACACTTCTGTTCGGACTTGGTCACAACCCTGCTGCTCCCTGTGCCCCATCTGGGTGTCCCCTCCCTGCCACCGGTGTTAATCCCGAACAGACTCCCCTGCACTCCGGTTTGTATCCCAGTCTGCTTCCTGGGGAAACCTGCTGATAAACATAGACCAAAAGGAAGTTGTCACACTGTAGATAACCATGCCTTAAGGGGGCAAATCATGGAGAGCATTCAGAGCGAGTAACTGGTGAACTTGGCCTTGAAGAGTGAGGAGAGCTTCCAAGGCCAAGGAGAGACAGGGACGTCCCAAGCCCAGGAACAGAGAGCAAACACCCAAGGCTGGGAATTTGCTGAGCCTGTTCTTATTTTTAAGTTTTATTTTTAGAGAAGGAGAGAAAGAAACATCAATTTGTGGTTGTCTCTCATGTGCTCCTATTGGGGACTTGGCCCATGACCCAGGCATGTGTCCTGACTGGGAATGGAACTGGTGACCCTTGAAGTTACAGAACAGTGCTCAATCCACTGAGCTCCACCAGCCAGGGCTCTGAACCTGTGCCAGTGGCGAGGAGAAGCAGGTAGAGCAGAGTTACAGCCAGAACACCACGCCCCCGAAACTGCATTTAGTCTGTTTGGTAAAACCGGGGAATGGATGTTGGTGCGAGCTGGTAAGAGACCACAGACTGGATTCTGGTTTCACCAGTTTCCCCCTCAAGCCCTTTTCCTGTTTCAGGAAACTGCATCGTGTTTGGTGGTTGATTTTTAAGTGGGCGATACAAATAGCACAGCGTTCTAGAGGTGCAGAAGTGACCTCCGCTCCCCGGCTCCCCAGCCGCTCTCTCGGGAGACGGCCTTCTCCGAGTCGTGTGCGCTTCCTTCCAGGTGTGGGTCTCAGAGCGCACGCACAGGTCCTTCTCTCCAACCTTTGAAAGTTCTAAATTTTGTTACGTAAAGGTAAAACATGTAACTTGTGAGCGTCCTTAGTTTTGTGTTGCTTTTTGTCACCTAAACCGCAGTGCGAGGCCTTGGCCTGGCAGTTCAGTCGGTTCAAGTGTTGTCCCAGGATTGCCAGGTTGCAGGTTTGATCCCCAGTCAGGACACAGAAGAATCAACCAGTGAATGCGCACAGAAGTGGAACAACAAATCGATGTCTTTCTGCCTCAAGTCAGTAAAACAAAAACTCTCATTTTGAGAATCTTATGCTCTGTCAACATCCAGAGCTACCTGTTGTCATTTTTAACTGGCTGCATGTGTTGGCTGTACTGCAAACTTCAGGGATCACAGGTGGTTCCCACGCCGTCTGAGAGCTGGTCCTGATTTCTCCAGCAACTCCTTACCCTGTTCCTGTGACTCCGGTTACAACTGGAGAGCAGACACCAAGTCCTGGTTCCCCGGCCTCTTCAGTCCGACTCGGCTTGCCGATGACTGCAGGGGCAACAACCCCTTGCATTTTCTCAGCAAAAAGCCCCAAGAGGAGGCATTCCGAGGGCTGAGCGGAGTGTGGTGGGGCTGCAGGGGCTGCCCGCGGCAGGTCCGGGTCTCTGCCTGTCCGCCATCCCTGCGGCACCAGGGCCTGGGCGGCCTGCGGGCAGGGCTGGCAGAGGCTCCCCGAAGCTGGGACCTCTGCTCAGGTGGTGCATGTGTGTCTGCCCTTCCCCACCAGAGTGGTGTGATGGGGGATGGTGACAGCTGTGGCAGTGGGGGTGGTTAGGGGACAGGCTCCAGCGAGAAGTGGAGCTGGAGCGTCAGAGCTGCCACTTCGCAGGATCAGGCTGGGGAGACCACTGAGCAGCACCGCAGAGGCTGCGTCCCACGGGTCTGCCGCCGAGGTGAGCCCTGGGAGGGAGAAAAGAACTCTGACTTGACAGGAGGACTGGTAGCAGCCAAGGACACGGTCAACCCTTGGCGGGGGTTGGGGGAGGCATTAACAAAAGTAACCTTCCCAAAGATAAAACCTCAGAAGGCCTTGGCCGGTGACTCGGTTGGAAGGAGCGTCACCGTGCAGACCAGAAGTTTGCGGGTGTGACCCCCAGTCAGGGCACGTGGGCCGTGGGCTGGATCCGCAGGTGGGGTGAGTACCGGGGGCAACAGATGGATGTTTCTCTCTCCCTTCCTCTCAAACATGTTCTAGGGTGAGGATTAAAAACAAGAACAATAAAACCCCTCAGAACCCAAGCTGCGCAGGAATAGGGGCTGGGAACTGGAGAGCTGGCTGGCTCGCAGCCCCCTGCTCTCTGCATGACCCCAGGAGACACCGGCATCCTGTGTGGTTCACAGGACTCGCGCTGACCCCGGTCAGCTGCTGTAGGGGCGACTAGTGCTGTTCACATCCTCCGCCTTCCAGGCACTGGGAGGATCGCGCCCCAGGGCCCTGGTGGTGCTGGTGGTGTGTGCGTGCTCACGTATGTGAGGCTCAATCTGGGCCACGAGTTAGGAAGGAAAGTCACATCCAACCGGGACCTCCAGTGAGAGACCCGCCCAGAATTCTCCTCCCTCTGGCTCGGGGCCAGCACATCAGAGACTGGGGGCCGACCACCACCTGTGACCCTGGGGTGGGTGCTGCTCCCCGCGGACTTGTGACGAACAGGTCACACAAACGAGGAGGGACTTAGCGTTTTTACCCGGGCAGTGCCTTCAGTGTCCGCCATCCTCCCGAGGGAGGTGGGGTCTGTTGTCTGGTTAGCACTGTGGCCCGTGCCCCGGTGCCTGCCCAGAACGGCCCCTCCCCCGGTCAGTTCGGCTTGCTCCGCTTCTGAACGCCCGGTGTTCAGTAGTTCCTTTCTCCTGGTTTGCACCCCCACTGCTGTTTCTTCAATCTCTCTGTCCCATTCTCTTACCCTCAAGCTCATTCATAATATTCTTTGCCTCTTCAAAGACTGTGCTTCACCACTTCCCTGGCTGGTGTAGCTCAGTGGATTGAGCACCGGGCCGCGAACCAGACAATCGCGGTTCGATTCCCAGTCAGGGCACATTCGTGGGTTGCAGGCCAGTTCCAAGCAGGGGATGCACGAGAGGCAACCATACATTGATATTTCTCTCCCTCTCTCCTTCCCTTCCCCTCTAAAGATAAAGAAATAAAAAAAGACTCTGCTCCACCACCTGAAACAGCTGAGACGGACTCCCCCAAGCCTGGGCTTTCCGGCAGCTGCGTTGGGGATGGTCCCTGGCAGCATGGGCTGGCGGGCGGGGGGGCTGCGCTTCTGATGGAGTGAGGGGAGGGGGGAGGGAAGGGGGCAGGAGGCAGAAGAGGGGTGCGAGGTTAGGGTGCTGACATGGAGTTGTCACCACGATGGACCGTGCACACTAACCAGACAAAACGGTGGTGGACGTATTTTTAAAACCGCCACAGCTACTGTCATTACACTCCAACGATCCGATGTCTTCCTAACAACGCAGGTTAGAAACCCTCAGCCTTAGTGGGAGAGCTCAGGAGGTTTCTGGGCACGAAATCAGCACCCGAAAGTCAGTGGGGTTCCTCTTCACGGGGAACACAGGGAATTTTCTAAACGGTATCATTTACAATAGGACCAAAACAATTTTAATGGCATATTGTTTTTATAGGGATACCCTAACTACCACAGACGGAGTGGCTTCAAACAACGAATCTCTTCCCGCACAGTTGGGCGGCCAGATGTCCCAAGGGCTGCGTCCCTCTGAAGGGGTACGGGAGGAGGGTCTTTGCCGGCCTCTCCCCGCTTCTGGGCATGGCTGGGGGGGTGGGGTCCTTGGTGTCCTCGGGCGTGTCGGTCCAGTCGCTGCCTCTGCTCTCACGCAGCCGTCTTCCCTGTGTCTCTGGGTCTTCAGGAGGCTGCACGTAGGGATGCCGGTCACGGGACTCAGGGCACGCCCCAATCTAGTGTGGTCTCTAGCCACTCGACCCGGCTGCTGAGACCCTCTTTGCAACAAGGTCCCATTCTGAGGTCAGACTGGGCAGGAGTTTCAGGGGAGAGGGGTACTATTCAACCCAGACGCAGGGTAACTAGGAAAATGTTATGCGTGAAATTGCATTGGAATGCAGTAAAGAGCAGCTAAACGGAGGGACAGAACTAGTATCGTGATTCTCCCAGTTGCTCCAATGAGTCAGTTCAATCCTCGTTTAAAAAATCTCATCAGGTGGGTCTGTCTGATTG